TGCTGGAATTATAGGCTTGTACCACCACCCCCAGAAACATATAAGATTTTAATTTCTTGATTCAGGGCTCCATGAAGTAGAGTTGTACATAAACTTTCTTATGTACAACTCCCTATCCATGACAAATCCTTGTCATAGATTAGATGCATTGCTTTCTTTTTTCTCTGTCCTTATTTGTTTAACCCTCTAAGAACTTTAACATGTATGCCAGTCATTTTCATCTTGCAAAATCTTGCCTTTCTGCTTAGTGTTCAATACATGTATTATAGACATCGCCTAGTGAGGAAGTATGGAAGCAAGACTACTCACGAGTCAGTAATCTTCAAGTTCTGCATGAGGTCTTTTTTGTGAATCTAAATCCTAGCACAAGGGCTTTTACAGCAAAATGGCTAATTTTACCCAATTATTTAAATACTCAGGTATATGGCATCAGATCAGAGGCATTAATAAAAAAAATTTATTTTGTTACCTGAGCATCAGAAAGAATAATGTCTGTAAAGGAATGAAGCAATTCAAACATGCTAAAATCCTTCAGTTCAAAATGTTACTAATGCTGGTTACCTTTGGAGTTTTCTGTGGAAACAAGCAATTATTCTGAAAATTGGCAAATAAGGGAAAATTTATTCTGCCTCTTCTCTGCTAGCTGTGTTTCAAGTTAACCACAGAGCTAGAGAAAGTTTTTCAATAGATGACTTCGAACTAGTAAGAAGGAATGATAAAATTAGAAAGACCACAATTTTGTAAATAATGAAATAATGGATTTAGGCAACATATCAAGGTTAAAAACTATCTTGTGAAAGATTGATGGGAAACTTTATAATAGATAAATCAGACTGATAACACCTGAATTTCTGATCAATCTTAGCAACATCAGTAAGAGTGAGGCAATCAAACATTACAGGTATCCTTATGCCATGCACAGTACATCCTCTACCTCTGTTTAGTAGTAAATCTCAGAGGTGTTCTTTGCCAAAAAGTGAATCTCAATCTAAATCAAACCTCTAATACTAACCATTCTTTTAAACACAATCAGTCATGTGGGGAATTCCATAGGACGAATGAACCAAATCCTTCAGCAAATAAATATTGATTTAACAGTGAGTGTGAGTGAACTTCCCATATGTTAAAAAGAGACTTCAGAGGCATATAAACCCAATTTAATATGTGACGTTGTTTTATCCTAACTTAAATAAACCAACTACAAAAAGTGATTTTTCAACAATGGAAGAAAAATGAGCAATCATTGGATATTAACAAGTGTTCACAAATTATTGTTAAGTTCATTAGGTGTGATGATAGCATTATGTTAGAAAAATTCTTATTTGTTAATGGGTGATACTAAAACAGATACTGGTGAAGTGATGTTTGGGATTTTTTTAAAGATATTCCTGGAAAATAAAAGTGTGTGTGTGTATAACAAAAACAACTCAGTGATTAAGGCTGAGTAAAGGTTGAGGCTGAGGACCAGAAGGGTCATTAGTGTATTCTCTCTGCTTTTGTATTTGTTTGAAGACAATTAGGCTTAAAATTGAATGCTGACTTTTGTTTTAGAAATGTCAGTATGAAGTAGTATGACGTGCATACAAAAAGCTTATATTTAAAATAGTAAACTGTATTCCCATGTATCTACAATTGAGAGTGTAACATGCAACATTATTATTTCTGTAAGTCTCTTTTGGCTCCTCCCTGAGCCCAGAGAGACTCTCTACCAGAGAGAGTCACTATTCTGGATTTTGTGTTATTATCCCCTTGTTTTTCTTTTTGGCTTTTCAAATTATTCAAGTGCCTATTCTTATAAATAACTATTTAATTGCTTCCCCCCCCCACCCCGTTTTTGAAGTTCATACTAATGGAATCATGCCTTATGCATTCTGTTGACTTTTTTTTTTTTCCAGTACTGGGGCTTGAACTCAGGGCCCTCACCTTGAGCCACTCCACCAGCTCCTTTTTTTGTGTGATGGATTTTTTTTGAGATCGGGTCTCATGAACTATTCACCTAGGCTGGCTTTGAACCATGATCCTCATGACCTCTGCCTTCTGAGTAGCTTGGATTACAGGTGTGAGCCACTGGCACCCGGCCTTGCTTTTGTTTAACAAAGCAACTTGCTGGTTTGCTCCACATTAATTTTGACCTGATCTATATTGTTGCTTTTAACTGTGGTTAGTCAGTTTTGCTGCTGCAGTACTCCATTGTGTGTATGTAGTGAAACATTTTTATCCATTCTATAGCTGGGGGACATTTGAGTTATTTTCAGTGTTTCATGAATATTCCAGCTCATTTCTCATGGTGCACACATAGAAGAATTTCTTGAAGGGGTATACCTGTAACTGAATTTTAGGGTAGATGGGAATATTGAACGATGCAAAACTACATGCTAATGTGATGGCTGTGCCAACGTACACTCTCAGAAAGTAGCATTTTTGAGAGGGTTCCTTCGTCCTTCTTCATCTACTCTTAATATATTCAGAATTCTTATTTTTTGTCAATGTGGTGGCAAGTGTGAAATGACATGTATTATTATTTTAACTTGCATTTGCTTTATTACTTACCAAGGAGTGTCAGCATGTTTGCTGGGCATTTGTGCTTCCTTCTTTATGAAGTACACATTCATTCTTTTACTCATATTCTGTTTTTCTTTGCTTTGGTTTTTTTGTTGTTGTTGCAGTACTGAGACTTGAACTAAGTGCCTCTCATTTGCTAGACAAGCACCTTTTACTCATATTCTAAAAAGTTGTTTCTCTTTTTTCCTATTACTTTAAGTGAGATATTTACATATTGTGTATATTAACCTTCTGTAGTAACTTGTATTGCAAATGATTATTTCATGGCTTGTGTTTTCATTTTCCTTATAGAATCCTTCTATGAAGTTTCTTAATTCTAATATAGTCAAATTTAACAACCTTGCACTTGGGTTTACTTTATTAAAGAAATCTTTCCCCCACATCAAGGTCCCAAAGTTACTTCCCTATATTGTCTTCTAACAGCTTCATAATTTTGTTTTTTCACATCTAGGTCTTTAATCCACTTGTCCCCCGCAACCCCTCCCCACACACACCCTTTGGTGTTGTTGAGGCTTTGATTTCCTTTTGTTCCATATGGATGGACAGTTGACCCAGGATCATTTATTGAAAAGTTAATTTTTTTCTCCACTGTTCTGTAATACTAACTCAGTCATAAATCAAACATCTGCATAAATGTGGGTCTGCTTTTACACTCTCTAAAACAGGTTGGATTTTCATCATCCAGGAAAAAGGAAAAAAAAAAAAAAACCAAAAACATATTAAGTAGAACAATCCAGGTTTGGCAATTTCCCATGTCCCTTCAAACCTGGACCTTCTGGAGATGGTTCTCAACTTATTTCTTTCTGGTTAACCACTCCTTCAAATCATCATTTTTAGTCTCAGGTTCCTAAAACATCCGTTAGCTCATTTCAGTTCTCTGCTTAAAAACATTAAAGGGCCTCATATGGAAACACTATAAGAAATTTTAAAGTTCTGCTAGCTTTAGTGAATCATTGCAACCTTCAGCCTGACATTAACCTCAACAGTGTCCATAATACAGCAGAAACTCAGTAAATTCTAGTTTCCTTACTGGATTTCATGTGGTAAATGAGGTAGGACATGATTTGCCTCCTGGCATGTCCAAAATGTCCTCACATGAACTACACTTATTGTTATTAATTATTAATGATTATTTTTGCCAAACATATGACCTGGAAATTTGCCAAAATAACATAAAGATGATAAGGGTTTCAGTTCACCATTTCATCATAGTTTTAAAGCATCTTATTAAACTGCTTTTAAAATGTAAATCATATAAAGATGTAACTGGGTGACAAAATCATGTATTCCAGTTCGTCTGATTTACTTTGTGCTGTTAAGTGACTCTCAGATAACCAAAATGATGAAACAAAGTAATCCAGGTTTATTTAATAAATAAAAATTTCATTGCATTTTATTAGCTGTGCAAGGACAGCAATTTAGGAATGCTTTCTTACCTCGCCTATTGTACATTTTGGTATTATCTCTCTTTTAGCTAGAATATAAAAGTCTTCTGCAGGCAACTTCAGGGACCAATTAGCTCCATTAAATTATATCCAGTTATGTAGTGAACTGAACCACTGCTCGCTCGTCTGGGGCTGTCTAGGGCTGAGACAATTAGGAGATGGAGAGAGGCAGAAAGAGATTGATTTTATGTGTCATTGAAGCACACTGCAACAATATGCCAGTGTGACTTTCAAAATGGCCTTAAAATATTCCAAACTAAGGGAGTTTCCTTGCTCCTGAGTGGGAGTTGACAGACTGTCTGGCAGCATTAGAAAGAGGCAGAGAAAAGCTGATATCTATATTGTGTCCTCTGATAACATTCTGCCTCTTTGTGGTATTTCCCCTTAGAAGATTCCATCAATTTGTTGTGAGGTGTGTGTGTGTGTGTGTGTGTGTGCGCGCGCTCCGCGCGCGCAGAGACATGATTTCACCTTTCACATCTGGGGAAATCCAACAGAAGGACACTAACCCTCCCAAGGTCACCTAGAAAATAAGTGTTGTGGCTTGGTGTGGAAGTGGAACAGAACCCAGGTGTCCAGACTCTAGCTTTGTGCTTGGGAACTAAATAATTTTCCTTGTGAAAAAAAGAAAAATCATTAGGCTGGGGGTTTGGGGGCAAGTGAGGGATTAATCAGATTTCCTCTTTTCCTTTGCCTCCCTTCCCCCTTAGGAAGATTAAAAACTCAGGGAAGCAAGAGGTGCCCTCTCTGCAGTTCTTAAGCTGGGTTTCCCCCAAATACACCCCACCCCCGACACAAAGCGATCTGGGTTTCCAGAGCTTCTGCTCGTCTTACGAGGAGCCTGGGAGGTGAGGAGTGGTTAAAACTCAGCCCTCACCTCCAGCGGGTCCCGGGCTCCCCGGCGCCCAAGCCCCGCCCCCGCCCGCCCTTCCCCCACGGCCTCGGCACGCCAGCCCCTCTCCCCTCTCCCAGTCGGGCGCACCCACCCCAGATGCCTCCTGGCACCGGGCGCAGCCGCCGCCGTCGCCGCAGCACTTTTCACTCGCATTGATCGCCTCCCCGCTCCGCTTGCTCAGCTGCCCGCGAGAGCGCAGCGCGGCCAGCGCGCAGCCCTTGGCAGCCCCCGCGCAGTCGGGCTCCGGGAGGAAACTCCTTGGGAGCGCCCTGTCCGGGGTGTCCTCTGCGCTCTGCAGTGTCTTTCTCTTTGCCTGGGAGGAGGAAGAGGAGGAGGAGGAGGAAGAGGAGGAGGAGGACGGCGAGGAGGAGGGGGAGGAGGAGGAGGAGGAGGAGGACGTCTGGTCCCGGCTGGGAGGTGGAGCAGCGACAGCAGCAGCCGCCGAGGCAGCCGCCGCCGCCGCCGCCGCCGCCTCCGGAAAGGGAGAGGCAGGAGGGATCGAGACTTGGAAACCCCAAAGTGTCGGCGACCCTGCGCGGCAGGCTCCCTTCCAGCTTCATGGGCAAAGTGTGGAAACAGCAAATGTACCCTCAGTACGCCGCCTACTACTACCCCCAGTATCTGCAAGCCAAGGTAAAGGGGCGCGGGGGGAGGGTCGCGGGAGAAGGGGGCGGCGGGGGCGCGCGCGGGTCGGGCCCGGGGAGGGGCGCGCGCGGCGAGCCCCCGCCGCCCGCGGACGGACTTGATGGAACGTTGCTAACTATAGCACTGGCCAGGGCAGAGCCGGGCGGGCTGCGCGCGGGGCGGCGGCTTCCCGGGGAGCCGATTGCGGGGATCGGGTTACAGAAAACCGCAGGGGGAGAGACTAGACAGGAAAGAGCCGCCAGCCCCTTCCTGGCCCGAGAGGCGGGGAGGGTCGCGGAGCCGAGCGGCGCCCCTCGCCCAGCGCTGGCTGCTCGGCGGCTGACGCCTGGGGCCCGCGCGGCTGGCCCCGCTCGTGGCATGGCTTCGCGACCTCTTGTCCAGGGCCTGGCCCCCGGGAGCAGTGACTCTTCGCTCCCCTCGGAGTGGTGCGGAGCCTCCCGTCCCCCAGGGACGCCCCTCTACCTCCCTCGCGCGCGTTGACTGGGACTGGAGGTGGGGGGGGGCGGGACATTTTCCTCCCCGCCTCCCGCCCCGCCGCCCGTCCCTCGCCTCTGATCTTTGTGCGGTGTGGCACTTCACCTGGTTACTGATTTCTACTTTTACGCCGGTGTTTTGGATGGAAAAGTGGCCAAAGTTCACTCAGCATTCATTGATGTCCCTTTTAATCTTCTCTGTAGTTTTTGCAGAGGAGGGACAGTGGATAAATTTCGGTGCCGAGAAAGAAGTGACTTTGTATTTAGTTAGCTTTGGGTTTGTTTTTTTTAACTATCTGTTTACCATATATCGATGGTGGTGCTTTCTGAAAAGTGGCCTGGCACCCTTTTAGGTAAGGACAGCTGATAGAATGTAGTCTTACAAATTGTGAGTTTCTAGGGAGCCTGGGTACTTTGTTAATGAGTCTATCCTATTTTTATGATAATTCGACGCCTCCTGAACTAGTTTACAAAATTATTTGGGCCCGTAAAGATCGGAGATTTCACTGATTTTGGAAGCTTCTACCAGTTTGGGAAGGCAGACGGTGAATATAGCAGCCGCCTTCAGTTATTAACATCTAGCACAACGCCAGATACCTTCTAGATCACAAAAGAATCTGTAACTGCATTGTCTGAACTTTCTTTGCGAGGGTGCAGTCAGGCTCTGCGTGCTGGCAGATGGGCATTTCTGGCCTGGTAGAAATGATTCAACCTCCATAAGCTTTTCTTTCCTACAACATGTGTGGTCCATGTTATCATGAGCCTACGACATAGCGCTGTGTTGTCCACATAAAAAGAACACTTGTCAGCGTCCAGGCCAGAAATTTCCTACCAGTCAAGGGCCTCTTTTTCACTCCCACCCTATTCAGATCTTACCTCTGGGTCACCAGAGAGCAGCAAGGTGGCAGCAGCAAGGATACCCACTGTTTCCTTTGGTTTCTCACATAATTGTTTTTAGAAACTTGAGGGAGATGCTAGTTTGTTGTGAATACATGGTAGCAGTTCCAAGAAATTTTGTAGGGTAATCAATGCACTGCCTTTTAGATATGTTATATATTTAATGCACTTGTTTAAATTATGCAGCATTGGGTGCTTAAAGGACAGCCTATTCAACACTTAACTCTATGAATAATAAATACATACACTCAGGTGAAGAAGAAAAAAGGCCATGTTTCTACAGGCACATTCACCTTAGTAATTTTTATGTACCATTAGTAAGTTAGAAACCAAATACATAACATTTAATATAGCTAATGCAATGCCATTTGGCTTTTTTTTTTTTTTTTTTTCCCTGTAAATAATTGAAGAGAGAGACAAACTGGCAAGAGCCTGCTCAAGTAATTAGGGTCGGATCCCAGAAAGCTTTAGGGCCCATTTTCTGAAAGTGTGCTTCCTGCATAAAGCATTTAATATTGATTTGTGTTACAGTAAATGACATTCTCAAAACATATTTTGCTGTTTCTCCTATGAAACCTGAACTCCTATTACTCTGGCATCCCTTTGTTTCAGGAGAAAGGTACACATCTTCACTTGACCTATATAACAGAGTATCAAAGCGTGGTAATTAAATCTAAATTCCCTACTATAAAAAATATCTTGATTATTTCAGAAGGGTGCATCTTTAAAAAATGAAAAGTGACCAGATGCAGATTTTTAGATAAGCAGAGTTTGAAGCTTATAACCCTTCTTTTTCTTCCTCAGTATATCTCTTGGTACTCTGAGTCATTAAAAATAGACTTTACTTGACCTGTTGTTTAATAACAAGTGTTGCCCAATCTACCTAAAGAGTTAATAAACTCACTTAGAACCTGTTGTCTACTGTGATGATGCTTGCCTGTGTAGATTTAACCTTCCTGAAACAGGCAACATCACTCTGTTTAAAGTACATTGATGTGTTTGCTAGTCCCACTTGTTTTGAACTTCTGTTTGAAAGCTGTATCAAAACAAGGGAATGGCATAGTTTTTTTAAAAGGTGGTTTGAACTTGTGGTTCAGAGGTAAATGTGATTTTCTTGAATCAAGAAGGAATAAAGAGATTTGATTACTTTCATCAGAGGACTAATGATAGCGATTAAAATGGCACTTTAAAATGAGTTTTGTTACCATACTTTAAAAAGTTGCGTATGTCAAACTATTCTTTTTTTTTTAACCATCCAGTCTGTTTTGACAAATTTATTTTGTAATTTTTCCCCATAAAACATTAGTTCATTATACTAGCCCCACAACATTTATGGGGTATCTTAGAACAGATGACTATATCGATGTACTCTATGCCTTGACAGAGAGAAAAATATCTCCAGAAGAAGGAATACATCTGCATTAAGCATAAAGTAAATTCGAGGTGTTATGGAGAACAGGACAGGGATGGAAATGAAAGATATTATGTAATTTTCCTAATACCTTAGTGTAGAGTAACATAGATTTCAAGTAACCTGATTTTACAGGCTGTTGGGGGTTTTTGTATTTCTTAGTCAATATTGCCTTATCACAGCAGGTTTTCTTTATCACCTGACCCACATTCTTTCTGAACTTTAACTTCATGAAGCTTTGTGAGCATAAGCCCATATCATTCTAAATGATTTTGCAAATTTTAAACAACTTATGCTATATTATGAAAAATAAAATTTGGCATCTACTTTTCAGCTGCACAGGAAAAAAATGGCAGTTAACAATTTAACTTGAAGATTTATAGATATACATTTTCAATCAATGGCTGTAGAATTTCATTTATTCTAAAGGCAACCCTAGAATCATGGTTTGTTCATTTTAAAGATACTAGTATGCACATTATTGCCAATGTTTGTAGGGAAATGTTTGCAGAGACTAAAAGATTCTATTTCTTTTGAAGAAAGGCAAGTACAAAACTTTCTTTACATGCTTTGCTATGTTTTTTGTACCAGCTAAAAGGAATTTGCTACATTTGTAATCTTTCTTCACATAGTTATGTTTCTCTAAAATGCATCAAAAGTTTGATTAAATTTTTGTGTATATAGCAGTATTGTTTTCTATCTTAAATGTTTCTAAGTCATTTGTTTTTAAGTCATTTTTTAAAATTTGTAAAAGTAAATACCGATAGACGTACCTGAACTCACCTTCAAAATGTGAGAGATAATGCATGTTATAATTTGGAACTCCATTAATAAAGGCTACAGAAGAAAAAAACCCAGTTTTTCTGAATTGAACTTTTGCATGCATTTACCATTTTCTTGAAATCTTTAACTCTTATTAGTTGTAGTCAAATTAATATTGTATCAAACAATCAAATTCTCTTGAAATTAAGGGTCACGATTTTATACATAAAAACTACGGAGTATAAGAAAGTAGATTGAAAGTACAAAGGCATAAGACATGGGGTGCTTGCTGGGGAATGCTTGGTGTCTTAAGATGTAACCACACTTATGAGGTTAATTAAGAAAGCTTACGATGTATCAATTTAGTAGGGCAGTATTTTACAATATAAATCAACCCCATTTTCTTCAGTGGGATACCGTGACTGTCCAAAAGTCATATTGTGAGACTCAGAGTCACGAAAATGTTAGCAATGAGCTTAGTTCTAATGCAACATTATAATAACCTTTCTTTCAAATAGCTTTCTTTTTAATTTCTCATGATACTGTTATTTATGTATCTTTTTTTTTCTATGTTAGGAGTCAACTTTTAAACTACTAAGAAGAAATAGGAAAAGAGAAGTATCAGTACAACTAGATATACCTCACATTTTTTGGCAATGTTGAATTTGAATTTAGATTCAAATGTGGACAATTTCTATGTAATACACTTTCAAGAAAAAAATTTTTAGAAACTTTACTGATGTATTGCTCTGCTTTTGTATTTTGCTTAATGATTTATTGAAACTATAGAACTACCTCAACTTACCTTAATGGGTACTGAAATTTTAACTTACAGACCTTTTAACTAAAGACAAAAGGATCTTTTTTCTTTTCTTTTTACTAAAGAGGGAGTTACCAGAAAAGAAAATCATGCATTTTTTCTATGTCTGATTAACCAATAAAGATCATGTGAGAAAGATCTAGAGTGGAGGGAGAAATTTCACCTCAGTAAAAAGGACAGAAACACTTGAAGAAGAAGGGTTCCTTGTCATTTGTTTTTCATTAGATGCTCACAGTTTAACTTAAAGTTTATTTTCCCCAACCATGGTCTCACAAACCCCCTGTAAGCCTTTCTTCAAAGGTTATCAGCACTTCCCTGTTCCTTGCCTCATTCTCAAAACAGTAAATGCTCAATAAATGCTTGTTCGTGAACTGGTATTATTCAGAAAAATTCAGGCAGATTTATTTTATGCCAGAAAAATTTTATAGACCCAAATCTACAAATATATTTAATTTTCTAATGAAATCTTATGGTTTGGTCTGTATTTTGATTTGTTTTGTTCCTATAATGAAAACTTTCAAATAAAAGTAAATACCGATAGACGTACCTGAACTCACCTTCAAAATGTGAGAGATAATGCATGTTATAATTTGGAACTCCATTAATAAAGGCTACAGAAGAAAAA